GCAGCCGCCAGCTCAGCTCCGGGGCCTCCCCGACACACCGTCCCTCTCTCAGATATTGCCCTGTGTTTAACTGCAGAGGAATTGGTCCTACTGGGAAAGGGATGCCCCTCAGCGCGGTGTCCTCGGCAGGCCTGCCCCCTCCTGTCACTCTCCCTTGGGGGTCCTGCGCCGCCCCGGTGGGGGCAGCACGGCTGCGGGGCAGCGCCTGGCCCCGCGAGCAGATCGTACCCAAGGCCGAAGTCTCCCCTTCAATGCCAGGGACTCAGACTCCAGGTCGCAGCATTGCTAGAAGGCTGTTTACCTCTTTTTTTTGTTTGTTAGTTAAATGCTAAAAGCTTCACACGGGGCGGGGGCAGCACGGCTGCGGGGCAGCGCCTGGCCCCGCGAGCAGATCGTACCCAAGGCCGAAGTCTCCCCTTCAATGCCAGGGACTCAGACTCCAGGTCGCAGCATTGCTAGAAGGCTGTTTACCTCTTTTTTTTGTTTGTTAGTTAAATGCTAAAAGCTTCACACGGCCCAAAAAGCCAGTTTTGACCCAAGTTCTTCGTAAAGCAGTCACGGCAGGACGACCGGGGTCCCCGCAGCATGACGACATTCAGCCTTTTCAGAGCATACTCATTAAACATATCCTCCCCTTGAAACCATCCCTTGCCTTGCTCTTCCCCTTCAGCATCACAGACCTCTTCACAGACAGCTGGCATCCACTTGAAATTATTCAAGAATAAGATGAATGAGTCCAGCAGGGACAGTCCTTGCCTGAATTAAGAGCTAGTTTCGTTAGGAACTGATAATTACATATAAGCTGCTTGTCAGCAAGGACTTGACAAAAGTTAAACCAGAACAACTTCTTTTTTTCCCTAGCATCCTCAGCACAGGTTGCGCGCGGAGGCAAGGCTCCAGCTGGAGGGCTGCACGCAGCCACGTGGCTGGTGGCAAACGACCTCCTCTCGCCATGCAAAACGCGCGCTCCGGACCAGCCCTGAGAGAAGCTACAGCTGCCTTCAAGTACATCTACTTTGTCAACACTGTCTGCACTTCTGCTTTTTCTTTTCCCTAGTGTAATACTCTTGAAGAGTAAACACAGTTGTCACCTTCATGCATTAAAATACCTGTTTTAAGAACTAATCATGATAGCCAGGTTTTGGTGCTTACCTCATAGCTTTGACATTTTAAAGGAGGAAAACGAAACAAAACAAAAAACCCAACAAAGTCCACCAAAGGTGGAGATGTCACGACAGAGTCACTAACAGTGGTTCAACAGATTACAAGTCCTGGGCCACAAGGGCCTTGTGTCAATTGTGGGTGCTTATAACACCTAACAGAGTAGGCACCTTGATTCTTGCAAACTTCAAGCAAAGCACTACGTGTGACAGTAGCTTAGCTGGATGTTGCAGGCATCCAGTCTCCTCAGCTCTGCAAAAAGCCTTATTTTCCAGACCTTGCCATGAAGAAAGTCTTCTAGCTGTGAATCAAAAGAGAAGAAAAAATAGTCTCATCTGCTCATGCCTACTGGCACTTGGAAACAATCTTTATGAACTCTCTATAGTGCACCAATTCACCCCAAGAAATGTGATTCCTTGTCACAGTCCATAACTTCACAAAGAATGAATTCTTCTATAAAAAATTCGGGATGTCTGCACTAACTGCGGGAAAGTGTTAAATTTGTCTATGCAAGAATATGCTGCAATGTTCATGTGCATTACTAACTGTCATGTTCTACCTGTCCACTGCAGACTGCCTGTCCAGGTTTTATGCATCTTGTCCACAGTGAACTTTTAAAATATCTGTATCAGCTAGCAGATATCATCTAAGAAGAGGTAACATCAGCTACAACAGGAAGAAAGCTAATCTAAGGTAGGGCCAGCACTCGGGTTCATTCCACTTAACACTACGCACTTTCACGACGCCTAAAGCAAATACAGCTTCCAGCAAGGAGCTCTGCCGGTTGAGCTCCGCCAAGCTCCGAAAATAAGATATGAACTGTCTTCTAGAAGGGCGTTTCCCACTCCACCGACTATAGAGGGAATGCAGTTGCCTAAGATTTGTGTGAATTTTCACCTAAATCTGACCTTGAGCCTTCCACTGACTTGCTGAAGTTCGAACCATGGCCACATCCAACTTGTCAGGAAGAACTGGAGTTTTATGAACCCAGCCAACGAGGAAAGAGAGACAAAGCATCTTGTTCCTAACACAAAGCTCAGCCCCTCGTTGGTGTCAAATCAAGGCTCCCTCCCAGCCAACCTCAAATCAGCAAAGCAGTTTTGGTACATTAGGAATAAATACTGTGGTACACCGTGAAAGGGAAGTCCAGGATATTATGAAATGAACATTATTTTTAAATTGAATGGATTAGGCATACTGGTCATAGTACAAAGAGTAAAATTACTACAATGCTGGTTTTTCCACACCTTTTGCTGCGCGCTGTCGTAGGTTGTGTGCCACAGAATTTGTATTTTTACTTCAGTAGTGGAAGATGCAC